GTGTGTGTGTGTGTGTGTGTGTGTGTGTGTTATAATACCAATAACGGACACACACACATGAAGTAACACTTTTTCAGCTGTGGTTTACCACAGGGCGTAGTCACTTCAGCTGAACTAAATGCCACAAATGTCCTTAAAGCTTTATTTCCATTTGTGACGCCGAGCACAAACCAACAGAACTCGTCTGTCTTCATCTCTTCGGCTCGTACGTCTCCATAAACGCATCTCTCGACTCTCGCTCTAATGTGGTGATTTGACCTCTTGTTTCATTCATGCATGAACGTTTACGAAGGAGAGCCTCTGATTTATGCAGAACTGAGCCCAGATACAAAAATGGGTCACTTGTTTAGCTGCGTAAACAAACAGCTCACAGGATGTGGCTGCATGATAAAACTCTTTGTTTTTTTTATTTCTTGCCATCTGTAAGTGTGCAAGTTTTTTTATTTTACTTTTATATCATGGGTACTGTGAAAAAACGCCTCAGAGCTTTTAAAGTCAAACAAACTCAGCCCTCCTTGTGAGTTATGTGGCAGATATGAACTCACAGACTGGACCCACTCTCTGACAGAAAGTCTAACTTCGAGTAAGATGTCACATTTGTGTAACGTTTCTGAATGTGAGCTGCAGCTGGCGAGAATTTTGGGAGGATTCTTCGTCACGCCGAGGCATCCGTTTCCCAACAGAACTGTCTCAGTGTTGCGTTATTGCTAATCATCTTATTCTGATCTCTGCTGATGAGACGTGACTCGCAGTTTTTGGTCTGTCGACATGAAAAYGGCAACGAGTCTGTGGAACTGCAGAGGAGAGGATGTGTGCATCAGCCAGATTATCCAGAGGAAGAAAAACTCCACATCTGACAGGATATTTTTTAGCTGTGATAAAAGCACAGTTRCAGGATTGCAACACGGCAGAGGTGGACAGCTAACCAAAAAGTCAAGTTCGCTAACCAATAATCCACAAAACAAGAATCTTAGCTCTGCTAATGCTGAATGAAAAATTAGTGAAAGCTAATGCTAACTGCTAAGATGACTCTCAGTCTTCATCTCCTTTCAAGTAAAGACTTGTGGGACTGGTAAACCTGTTGTTAGTTTYCTATTGGTTTAATTTAAAAGGGGGTGGGATCATAGGCAAATCGGCCAATCAAAAACAGAGTTATAGCCCCGCCTATCTTATGGTACTTCAAATGTACTTATTTCAAAATAAAAGCATTTCTATATCAAATTTGTATTTTTTATAAATACCAATTTGGAAAAACAAATAGCAAATAGCTTCTCTGCTATATTTTACTAATTTTTTTATTTATTATCCAAATATTATTAAAAGGGCAATAT